TGCAGCCCCGGGGGGCCTGCCTGTGCCTGCTCTGGACAGCCCCACATAGGTTGCGAGCGGCTGCAGCAGGGAGTGCCAGCCCTGGGACAGGAAAGGGCCACTTTCCTCCATGCCGGGAAGGAGCAGGAAAGGAGCCTGGGGAAAAGTTGAGCATGGGAAAAGTGGCCCCTCCATGGCCCCGTGGCCGGCGCTCCCTGCTGCAGCCACTCACATCCCACGCGGGGCTGTCCAGAGCAGGCACAGGCAGCTCCAAGCGGGCTACAAGCGGCTGCAGTGTGGGGCACCAGCCACAGGATGGGGGAGGGGCCGCTTCTCCCCCCACGGCCAGCTTTTCCCTGGGCCATATTTCCCTGGGCTCCTTCCCTGCCCAGGGACCCCCCTGCCCTTCCACCCCAGTTCCCGCTTACCTGAGGTTCTGGCGCCATCGGGGCATCTACGTGCTCCCAGGCCAGAAGCCCCTGCTGGGGTTTCCGGCTGCAGGGGTGGGGCCAGGCGGGCCCTGCTGTTGTGGGAGTCCGCCGGGCTTCCCCTGGGTCCTACTGCCCTCGATTCCTGTCATTTTTGACAGGAACCAAGGGCAAAGAAATATTAATTTTCTAAATTTTTTAGGGGCCCTGCAGGCCGGATAGAATGGCCTCGTGGGCTGGATCCGGCCTGCGGTCTGTATTTTGCCCTCCCCTGCCCTAAACATTATTAAAATACTCTAAACATAGTGAGCAAAATTCTTTCTTTGAACACGGATAGTAACTCTTACTCTCACTGAAGGTGGCCAAAGACACAGCTCTGGGTGTAAATAGGCCTCTACATGGACTGCCCAGTGCCAGTTCTGTTCCTGTTTATCTCATTTGGAGGTTTCTAGCTGGCAATCTTGACCCGTTATCTACTCTTGCCACTTGCATCTATAAGCTACATCTCTCACTAAAGCCATACTTGGGGGTGGACAATGTGGGCAACTGCCCAGGGCACCGTGGTTGGGGGGGTTGCCGCGCGCGCGCACACGCACGCACACACACACACACACACACACACACGAGCAGCTCGTGCTCACAGCAGCGCTCTATCTGTGCTGTCCTAGTCAATCCCCACCCCAGGCAGGAGGAGCAGTGCTTAGCCCAGCCCACCACCAGCCACTGCTCAGGAGGAGTCAGGCCAGGCACGTGTGGGTGGGGTGGCGCCTGCTCCAGTCTGCCTGCCTTGATCCCGCACAGCACTTTCCTGCCCACCCACCCACCTGCCTGGTGCACCATGCCACTCTGCATCCCCACTGGACTGCACCCCTGCCTGCCTTTGCTTGCACCAGTGCTGCTGGCTTGGAGGTGGCAAATTCAGTTTGCCCAGGGCACCATTTTCCCTAAAGCCAGCTCTGTTTCTCACATACTATTGCTGTATACCCACTGCCTACTTGAATGAAAAATTAACACAGGGTTTGATGGAGAGACTGCATGTGGTTTTGTGGGCTTCTACATAACATAATTAAGAAAGTTAAACAGGAAGCATCAATTTGGATTGTCTTCTAGACAGTGTTTTTGTCTGTCTTGTGGGGATAGGCAGAATGTTCCAGCAGTTAGAGCACCAAATGATGTAGGGAAACCAAGCTTCTATTCATGAAAAAGACAAGTCATCACGTGACCTTGGACAAATCATAAAGCATTTTTGAGCCTCAGTGTTCCCATCTCTAAATTGGAAATAATAGAATTTACTCATGCTTGCAAACTGCTCTGATAGTCTCTGATGAAAAGCAGTATACAAATGCAAAGTATTTTTAAGGTATACTTTATGGGCTTAAGTCCCTACTAGCTTTGTGTTTTTGCAGTTGAAGCACAGAACTCTCAGTATTATGGTGCCATTTATTTCCTTATCTTTTCTGTGTGTAAATACTGCACAGTACAGTCTGTTTTATCAGACAGCACTAATGTTCAAAATTTGTCAGTATAACATTTTCTAACATTAAGGTAGTGATGTACTCTCACAGAAGCATTTGTATAACAGCACAGTCCTAGAAGTATCTCTTTCTCCCCTGATTATGTGTTTTGTTGCAGGAGGAGGACTGCATTTTTTGAACTTGTCAGTAAAGGTGACTATGATTGGAATGTCAAAAGCTACCGTGAAATATTTCAGTAAGTGAGTGCCATTATTCCAAAGCTTTCTGATTACCTTAAGATATCACTATATTTAATTATTTCTAGTATACTGACTTCCTAAAAGGTTTACAGTCGTAAGAAAGAGCCACATTGTTTTAAAATAATGAAGTATTTTGCCACAATTATTGGATATTGTCTGGAAAACTGAGGCCACTTGATCCAGGAAACATTGTACTGACAATCCTGGTCAGAGTAGCCACTGTTTGAATCCACTTTTACCAAAAGCTGATAGGGTTGGTCAGCATTGGCCTCACTTACCTTGTACCTGAATCTGTTCTTTTTCTTACTCCTCTGATCCAGCTACATTTTCTTTCCTCTTTCCCCAGCTCAACCCTTCTCCCGTTTCTCAAAAATATTCTGACATTTTGCATCAACCCTCTACCTCACTGTGGACTTATTGATTCTTCTTTCCTGCCCCCCACCACCAGCCCCACCCCCTCACTGCACTTCTTTCCCATTCTATTCCCATGAGGATAGAACATTACACCCTGCTCCTCCTTGAGAGCTGCCAGTTGGCGAAAGGGTTGAAGGTCCAACCCAGCAGGTTTGCCAGATCTTCAGAGTGCCCACCTCAACCACAACCTCAAAGACTAGGTGTGGCTTGGGCACAACTGAGATATTAAAACTCTAATGTATGCATTCACAGATGCATGTATCTCTTGATTTAGATGAAATTTCATAAACAATTTGTTTCATTTTGGTGTTTTGACTGAAGTTTTGACTTTTTTTCATATCATTTCACCCATTGCTTATTTCAGAGATGGAGCAGTATATTTGATGCTTCATTTTCAGTGTCCTTGTTCTTCATTTAAGGTTTCTCATACTTTTATCGGCATCATGTACTGTACATAAACGCTTTCCACAGCTGAATGGTTTCTTTCTTCTAATGCTTATAAAACATGGTTGTAGCCAGATATTAAACTACAGTGCAACAGTGTAGCCCTTACAGTAAATCTAATTTTTTTATTACAGATGAGAGAGAGAAACTGCTTAAACAGTGTCTGGGATGCTTCTTTTGATTATAGGTTCTCTTGCTAGAGCAGTCACTTATAAATAGGCAAATAAATTAATCCAGTCAGCATTTTATTATATAATAACTCCTTTAACTTACAACATGGTAAAGAACATGCTACGGGGTATATTAAAATATCACAATTATTAGTAGTACAGCAAAAGTAGTGGCTAGTTTCATAGTTTCTAGGGTCGGAAGGGACCTGAACAGACCATCAAGTCTGACCCCCTGCCCTGGGCAGGAAACGAGTGCTGGTATCATAATACCCCAGCCAGATATCTATCCAACCTCCTCTTGAAGATCCCTTAGGTAGGGGAGAGCACCACCTCCCTTGGGAGCCCATTCCAGAGCCCAAAGGCCCTAACCATAAAGTAATGCCTCCTGATATCAAGCCTGAACCTACTCTCAATGAATTTGTGGCTGTTATTCGTTGTTATCCCAGGTGGTGCCCAGGGGAACACAGCCTCACCTATTTTCTGCTGGTCCCCCCTGGTAAGGCTCATCTGTTTTCCCCTGGTCCCCCCTCTCAGTTTTCTCTTGTGGAGGCTGAATAGATTCAGCCCCTTTAGTCTATCTTCATAGGGCCTGGCCTGCTGCCCCCTGACCATGCGAGTGGCCCTCCTCTGGACCCTCTGAAGGTTAGCCACATCCCTCTTGAAGTGCGACACCTAGAACTGGATGCAGTACTCCAACTGTGGCCTGACCAGTGCCGCATAGAGGGGAAGGATCACCTCCTGGGACCTGCTTGTGATGCACGACAAGGTGCAGTTAAGCCTTACTGACCGCTTCCTCGCATTGGCAGCTCGTGTCCATCCTGGAGTCAATAATGACTCCAAGATCCCTTTCAGCCACTGTGTTGTTGAGAAGGGTGTTCCCCAGCCTATAGGCATGTTGCAGGTTCCTTCTCCCTAGATGCAGTACCTTGCACTTGTCTGTGTTGAATTCCATTCTATTCTCATCCTCCCACCTCCCGTAACCTGTCTAGATCTAATTGGATCCTGTCCTTCCCCTCCAGTGTACCCGCTTCTCCCCACATCTTTGTGTCATCAGCAAATTTGCACAGAGTGCTTTCCACACCCACCTCCAAGTCGCTGATAAAGACGTTGAATAGCACAGGCCCGAGGACCGAGCCCTGGGGAACTCCACTGCCCACATCCCTCCAGGTTGAAAACGACCCGTCCACCACCACTCTCTGGGTGCGACCATCGAGCCAATTTGCCACCCATCTGATTGCATAGGCATCAATGCCAGTCGCCTAGTTTGTAGTGATACCTGTTTCTTTTCAAACACACAATGCATAACATTGAAAAATCATTATCTAATGATCTATAATGCATTAGGCTTCCTAAGCATAATGATGATTTGAAAACTACACTAACAGTTAAGATTTCAAACAGTGCTGGTCCTGCTAGAGAGAAGGTTCCTGCTAGACAAGGTTCTAATTCTGCCTTTTTTCCTTATTTGTGTCTCCAGGGCAGATTTGTTTAGAAATATAACAAAGCTTTATTCAGCCTGTATTGTTCATTTCTTTTTTCCAGATCAATGCTAATGACAGCCTGTGACCTTGGAGCTGTGACCAAACCGTGGGAGATTTCAAGACAGGCAAGTCATGATTAATAGCAGGGCTGGGAAGAGGCAGGACTGGTGGGACAATATTCCCAGGGCCCTGACTTACAAGGGACCAGAACTGCAGTCAATTTACAGCGGTATTAATGCAGTAAAAAATAGCAAGGGGGGTCTCCAAGGCATGGTTTATTGCACAATTTTTTCATTTGCTGTTCTGCTGAGTAATATTTAGACACCTGAAGAGATCTTATTTTATGACCTCTCCTCCTCTATTAAACTTTTAACTCCATTTAAAAAAAAAAAAGGACTTAAAAAAATGTTGGCCCTGTGCAGGTACTTTTCTGCTAGTCCCTGTTGTTTTTTTACAGTACATGTAATTGTAATTCTGTAATCAAATGACACTGATGGAATCTGTTGCACATTGAGAACATCAACAGGTTTTTTGCAGCTGATCCACACAGAGGTGCTCAGTACTTGGGGGGCCTAAGGGCCCTGACTCCCCTCAGGAAGAGGGCTGTCACCTGAAATGTGTAAAACTTTCCACATGTCCATCATCGTAAGCCCCTGCCCACCCCCAGCAAAAATACAAGTCAGAGCCTTTGGATCCACATGCTATAATGGAGACAGAATATGTATTTTTTCATGATAAATAGAAATTGACTATTGTTTTAGCAGCGGTTTAACATTAAATATTGTAGTTCTGGGACTCTGTTCAGCAACCCTTTCCTAGGGTGACAGTTTATCAGACAGGGCACTTCAAAGCATACATTATACCCAGGCAGTCATTTAAAGTCTAAAGTTTGGCAAGGTAAGCAACTAGAGTGTGTAACTAGAGAGCCTTCTGTAACTGGAAGGCCATCTGGGTCAAGACTGGCCTTGAAAGCCACCAACTCCCAGAAAACTTCCTCTCCTCAAGTATCCATCACCAGTATGACCCACATTTTGCTAATAACTCAGTTCACCTGAATTAGTGATCAGAGAGGGAGTGAAAATACACAGAAGTGAAAGATAGAGGCTAGTAAAGAGGCAAAGTATGATGAAGTAGTCTGATTTTCTTGAGAAGGGAAAGGAGGAACAATAGCTTAAAAGAGAGTAGGATTCTGTTTGGAACATGAGGAGATACTGAAGATAGTACAAAACATTCCTCCTCAGTGGAATTAATTATCAACACAACTACAGTTCATGATCTGGAATATTAATGTACTAGCAAATTGCCCATCAAGTATGATGGGGGAGGTGGGGATGGCACGCCACCACCCACCACCCTGTGCTGCTGCCGGCCCCCCGGGGAGGGGGGAAGCTTGCCTTGCCGTTCCCTCCATCCCTCTCCACCAGCACCCTGCACCACCGCTGCCTCAGTGCTGCTGGCCTCACCCCCGCCCTTGGAGGCAGCGGAGCACCACCATGATGGTGGGGATGGCACTGCTGGCCTTGCCCCCCCACTCTGTCCCCTCCATGCCTGCCATCATGGCAGCACTTTGCACTCTGATTGGTTGTTTCACTAACCAGTCAGAGTGTTCCGAGAGTATTACGGACAGACAGATAGACAGACTGACTAAATTATATAAGAATTTTTTACCTTTAAAAGAGTAGTATAGCTGTTTGGTACTGAATTCAAAAGTTTTAAAAGATATATCATAAATATATTTAATTTTTAATTTTTCTGTATTTTTGTGCATATTTCCTTCCAAAGCTCCTATTCTCTTGTTGCAGACTATGAGAAATAGCCATGAAATATCACCAAAAATTACTTTTATTCAGAAAATTACTTTTATCCGGAAGTGGGAGAATCAGGTCCCCAAACTTTGGCATTTTCCTATATGCAGTATTCCTTCCTTTCCTGCCTCAACCTAATTAATTTTTGTGCATAGGAAATGGGGCTAAGTCAGGCAGGATTTGCTTAATGCTTCTTCAGTGAGTTTTGAGCTATAGGAGAGCTAGTGCTGCAATTTATGATCAACTATTTTTCTGTTCTTATGCTTCTCAAGGACTGTAAGTAGACCTGCCCCTGTGGCCTAACTACAAGTCTATTTTCTATTGAGCAGCCAGCATTATCTGGTTGAACAGAGATGCTAATAAGGATGCAGAGGGACATCTGGGGAAATCTTTTGACCTCAACCATGCCTGGAGGAGGAGATCTTGACAAGCGAAGGAGGTAGACAAAAAACACATAAATGGAAGGGACAAAAGGGAGAAAGTGCAGAGGATAAACATTCCTAAAGATGAGACAGATAAAACATACAAAAGGCGATAGGGAGATGGAATGCTGAGAAGAGCAGAATCAGAGCAGCAGGAGTCAAAGAGAAGAAAATGCCTTGATTATTCGTATACAATGCAGTTGGAAAACTCTTAATTGCTGTTAAGCTGTTAAATTATTCGTGTGTGACATGCTGGTCCATAATTTTAATCAGTGATATGGGTTTACTTATGTTACATGTTCCAAAATGTGTGATCCAAACTGTGCAATCATACTAATAAACGGAAAAATCATGGCTTAGCTGAAGATCTAAGGCCATTTTATTATGTTACTCCATCTGTTTTTACAGGATAGAGCATGTTTAAGGACTGCTGCTTGTTGACTGCTAGGCTGTGACCTCTACTTGCTTTCCCCATGCTAGACTAGGATATTGAGTTAGCATGACATACAGATTCCATCCTTAATTCAGCCTGTTGTGCCTTGGTTCCATGTGTGAAATGTTTTTTTGTCACCATATCTGAGAAGAATAGGTAGGTGCAACAGGATGTTAAGAACAGAATGTCACCTTGAATGGCCAAACTTCCTTTTGCTATGTAAATCATGTCTGTATCCCAATAATAATCAAATATTTGTGTGTGTACCTGTGTGCCCTCACATACAAGGGTGAGAGTACATTTAGTTATTACAGTAGTTGCCTGTCTTTAGGTTCCTAGTGTTTGCAACAATAATTTCGTCTTTAAATCCTGTACGCTTCCAAGAAACACATATTAACCAAAAGAAAAGCAGCTTGACTCATGCTGCCAAAAGCATTTCCATTTCCAAAAGTCATCCCCAAGTTCTTTAGATCCTCAGGTGCTAGAATAATGACAGTAATAGAACAAAATATATCTTAGTGGACGAAAAGGTTTAGGATTTCATTTTAGCTGGCTGAAGTTACTGGTCAGCTGAGTTTCTCTAACAAAAGAGAGAGTTTTCATAGGCAGCAGCCTATAAAGTACCCAGAGAGCTCATGGGGTTTGGGTTGTAGCTGTGCTGGTCTAAGGACATAGGCAGACAAGGTTCCTTGGGTGAATTTGATATCTTTTATTAGACCAACCCAAATGGTTGGAGAATAGTTATTAAGCAAGTTTTCGGGTTCAAAAACCCTTTGTCAGGCTAAGGAAGCTTCAGCAGTTGGTGTGTGCTCAGACTTCAACTCACACACACCAACTGCTGAAGCTTCCTTAGCCTGACAAAGGGTTTTTGAACCCGAAAGCTTGCTTAATAACTATTCTCCAACCATTTGGGTTGGTCTAATAAAAGATATCAAATTCACCCAAGGAACCTTGTCTGCCAGACAGCTCATGCACACTTTACAGTCTTTTGTGGAAATAATTGTATATGCCTACGTGGAACTATCATAGGGGTCTATTTTACTCTCCATGCCTGAGTAAATTACAAGAAACTCCAACTAACTCCACCATCAGTTTGTCTTGTCTTTGCCGCAGGCATCAAAAGGAAAATTAGAATGTGTTTTTGCAACATGGCCACATCGTACAGCTCTATAAACCTCAATTCACCAAGGTACTCAAGCATGTGCCTAGCATATGTACTCAAGCATATTTAAACGTATGCACAGGACTACTGTGTTTACAGATATACACATGCTAAAATATTTTAGCCAGAGCCTTAGGTAAGAAATTCTTGACCGTAAAAACAGTTAACAAATATATCTACCTTTAATATAATTATATTTCAGGCAGCTGAACTGGTAACCAGCGAGTTCTTCGAGCAAGGAGACAGAGAGAGATCTGAACTCAAACTAACCCCTTCAGTAAGTTTGTTACCACTCTTGAAACGCACTTTCTAAGAAAATGGTGATCATGTTGCTGCTTTACCTCAAGGAAGCACCTCAGTTTTGTACACAGAGGGCACTGTGTGTAGGGCACACCTGCATGCCTTAATGTGCCTTAGACTAAGGCACATTAAGTGTTAGGTGTGCATAAATTTACATATAGATATGCCCAGAGAAGCACATTGGAATAAATATATGACCAGCTTAAAAGCAGAATTTTTTAGGACCTGGTCCAAAGCCTGTCATTGACTTAAGTAAGTTTTGGGCTGAACCCTTACTCCCCACATACTGTTGATACCCTTATATTCTCTGTGGACGTTCTGTAACAGCAGTGATTATAACCATATTCAAACAATCACCGTATATTCATAGAAATAATAATTACCAAGTCAGCTATCTCTGATATCTGTTTTATTTGCAGTATCATTTCTAAAGAACCATTTTGGTGTACCCACAATAAGTCCTATGGTTCTTGGGTAATTTGGGATTGTCGGTCCATCTACTATAATTGATAAGATATAATACCTAAAAAGGATACAAAGTGTAAACTGAAACCACAGAGAGGAAGAAAGAAAACAAAGATTTGAAGTGGGTGAAATGAAGAGGAGACCTTATTCACACCTAAATACGTTTAAAAGCGTACAGATCATCATCTGGGGAAACACAGGAAGGACTTTTAAGGAGTTCATATTCAAAACATTAAAAAAATAAGTCATCTATCTTTTCAAGCTGTATATAATAATACTTCAAGGAAGCAGTCACAAAAAATGTCACTTGCATACTACAATATGGGAAGCACCAAGTTGATGTAAACCAGCATAACAATGAAATCAAGAGTTGTATCATTTATATCAGCTGAGGATCTGATTCAATTGTTATCAACTCTGTACAGTATGCTAAGGGATGTTAATAGCTCTCTCATAAAGTAGTTCTCAGTTTCTGCCTTCCTTTGCACATAAACAAATGAATTATCTCTAGTACAGTTAGTCAGCCATAGTACTGACAAGGTTGGGGTCTTGGATCAAATATAACCTTGAATAACTGAAAATACTATTCCATATAGCACATACATAGTGCATTTTACATAAAGTGGTCCTTGAAACACTAATAAAATCCCTCTGTAAGAGAAAATAATTTTACTTTAACACATATTATTTTTATTAATTTACATAATTTTAAATATTTATATATTTATTTAATGTTGATGGTGTTCACAAAGCTTAGGGTGTGAGGGTTAAAGTCATTTGGAGCTTTATCGTTTGAAAAAGGTGGATATTTTAAAAAACTACAGCAGTCACTTAAATGTTTCATGTGATAACTCTATTCCAGATCACTCAACAGAGTCAAATGCAAGAACTGCTGCCTCTACAAAAGCTACATAGAGAATATGTAGTACACATAAAGTGCAATTTCCTTGCATTAAAATATTATAAAAGTCTTCACAGGCCATAGAATGAAAATTTTAATAGTACTCAACTACCTTAAGAATAAAGGGGAAAACATTTCAAATTGCATCCAGAATGCTGTTCCTTTTTCTGATCTATAACTTCCTGAAACTTCTGTTCCTACTAAGATCCATTAGGATATCTGTGCATTTAAGAAAGAACAATGAGCATGGACAGTTAATGTAACATACGCAATTTTGCTTTTGACATGATCTCCCTCTTTGACATGCTTTTAAATAACAACATTCTCTCAAGCAAGCTAAGGAAGTATGGGTTTAATAAAATGTAAGATGGACAGAAAACTGGCTGAATTGTCAGGCGCAAAAGATAGTAATCAATGGCTCAATGTCTAGTTGGCAGCCAGTATCAAGTGGAGTGCCCCAAAGGTCAGTCCTGGGGCTGGTTTTGTTAAATATCTTCATCAACGATTTGGAACATAGGATAAAATGCACCCTCATCAAGTTTGTGGATGACACCAAGCTGGATGGAGTAGTAGATACACTGGAGAGTAGGACCAGGATTCAGGGACCTAGAAAAATTGAAGGACTGGACCAAAAGAAATCTCATTAAATTCAATATGGGCAAGTGCAAAGCCCTGTACTTAGGGCAGAACAAACCTATGCACTGGTACTGGCTGGAGACTAACTGGCTAAGCAACAGCTCTGCCGAAAAGGACCTGGGCATTACAGTGGACAATAAGCTAAATATGAGCCAACAGTGTCCCCTTGTTGCAAAGAAGGCTAACGGTATACTGGGCTGCATTAATAGGAGTATTGCTAGCAGGTTGAGGGAAGTGCTTATTCCCCTCTATTTAGTACTGGTGAAGCCACATCTGGAGTACTGTGTCCAGTTTTGAGCCCCCACTAAAAGGATGTGGACAAATTAGAGAGAGTCCAGTGGAGGGCAATGAAAATGGTTAGATGGCACGGGAACAAGACTTATGCGGAGAGACCGAGGGAACTGAGCTTATTTTGTCTGCAGAAGAGAAGACTGAGAGGGGATTTAGTAGCAGCCTTCAGCTACCTGAAGGGTGGTTCTGAAGAGGATGGAGCTAGACCACTCTCAGTGGTAACATAGAACAAGGAGCAATGGTCTCAAGTTTTAGCAAGGGAAGTTTAGGTTAGATATTAGGAAAAACTCTCACTAGGAGGGTAGTCAAGCAGTGGAACAAGCTATCCAGAGAGGTTGTGGAATGTCCATCCTTAAAGGTTTTTAAGACCCAGCTAAGCAAAGCTTGGCTGGGATTATCTAGTTGGAGATGCTCTTGCTTTGAGCACGGAGTTGGACTAGATGAACTCCTGAGGTTCCTTCTGACAATAAGTTTCTATTATTTGATTCTATATTAAGTTTCCAAAAAGTACAGGAAACTTAGCTTATATTAGCATCAGTACCTAGAAAACATGGATCCAGGACAAGCCCTTTTGTTCAGGGAAAATCTAAGGAAAAGTAAAACTTAAAAGTACCCAGGATCAGGGGAACAACAGTAGACAACAGTAGACTCATGTTGCCTGCATCCTTCCCATCAAGCAAGTAGGACAACCTCAGACAAGTGGCAGGAAATGAGGGTATAGAGCAGCATTTCCCAACCTTTTTTGCCCCACGGCACACTTACCTGAATTAAAAAGCACCGTGGCACACCAGATGGGGTGGGAGGCGGGGGGGGTGCACAGCCAGCCAGCCAGCATTTTGGGTTGGAGCCACACCCCATGCCTGGCTGGAGCCACACTCCCCATCTGTGTCCTCAGCAGCAGCAAGCAGGGGCGTGGCTCCAACCCAAAATGCCATGGCACACTTGGGTGTGCCTGACTGCACACCAGTGTGCTGTGGCACACTGGTTGGGAAACGCTGGTATACAGAATATGCAAGAAACATGGGTTCAAACCTCACAGAGCTCAAGTCTTTCCTCCTTATCTCTAGTCTTCCTTGCCTCTGACAGCATGGTCAACTTCCAAGTGTTCCAGCAATTGCCTTCATCCCCTGCAGTATTCCCTGTGGTAGATTCACAAATGACCAAGAAGTTGAGCTCTCTTTCCCAAAGGAGCAAACTGTAGAGCGAGTATTCCTCCCAGCTCAATCTGATGATTCCCCAGCGAGAAGACTGCAAGATATGGCTGTGCTCCTGGATCCTCTCAAGGCAGCATGACACATATACTCTTCTTAGTTTATTCTGATTAATTCAAAGCCTTTTTGCTTCTTTTGTGGCAGAGAATGGTATTATCTGGTCTACACAAAATTACTATGCATCCTTTTTAGGGTTCTTGCTCTTGTCCACCCTCAGCATTATATTGACATTTAGAAATTGCATGCTATAGCAATCAAATAACTTCAACTTACAAACTTCAAAAAAAAAAAGCTGAAAATTGTATCTCATCCTGGACAAAAAACTAGAAAGTGTATGTAAAGATTGTTTATGGTTTACAAAGTGTTCTCTTGTTAACAATCTGATCAGAACATCCAAGTGTTGGATTACATACAGTAGAGTTAGTTACCCAAAGTAGGATGTGCTGTCAACCTTCATGATATGTGGTACAAAGGTACAAGTAACTAAACAAAAGGAGAGTGAACTGTTTTAACTACTGAGAAAAATGTAAAATAATTGACATATTGAAATAAAAGTCTGTAGACATATTGTATACATTGCACATATACATATTTGTTGAATATTCATTTTGTCAACCAGTTCGATCTTATGAATGAGCTTTTATCCCAAATAGTTTGGATAACTGACTCTGTACTGTATTGGTAAAAATATTTCAGTATAGTAAAGCACGATACTTTTGTTTTCCTCTCAATTCAGGCTATTTTTGATCGGAACAGAAAAGATGAACTGCCCAGGCTGCAGCTGGAATGGATTGATAGCATCTGCATGCCCTTATACGAGGTAATTTTACTTACTGCCATTGCAGAGTCAGGACAGCACTGGCCCTTCATTTCCAAATAAGAGAGTTGTTTATATAGCAGTCTCTAATGCTGCTATACACAGCACACTTACCTTCCTTCCCTTCCCTTTGCTCAGAATTTTGAATCGTAGACAGAAATGTTTAATTTACGGACTATGAAGACAGAAATATCATTTCTCTTTGAAATCCAGAGCTGCCCAGACAAAGATCTCTTTTATATCAGGCAATGATTCTTAATGTGGTAAAAGTTCCCTACTGTGCACTGTGTTTTGTTCAGTGAATAATTCTGCATATAAGCACAGACCTGAATAGGCAGGACCCCAGGGAAAACACAGGCCTGAATTTTTCAACCCTAGTTTTGGCTCCTCCAGCCTGAGAGATGGAAGGGACATTCCATGGCACAGCCCACGGGATCACTTGGTACAGGCACATATTGCATCCAGCTTAGAATGTGCTAATGTGGTCGTGCACCCACACAGATTACTTGGATGTTTGGAATAAGTACCACAGCTGTAAGATGGATGGCTGTGTTATGGGCTGCAGATACCTACAATAAAGTGCCACTGCTAATCAAATTACATCAGATGCAGTGTTTGGCCCAGATGGATGCTTATTTCTTCTGCCTGACTAGAAAATAGTTATGCAAGCAAGGCTACAGCTGGTAAGCAACATTGTGGAATCCTGTCATCACCAGCTTGCATACTTCTTTATCAGCCAAGCTTGGGGGCCAACCCTGCAGTCTGAGGCCAGCCTCCTACTGATATCAGGGTTTTGCCCGGATAAAGACTGGAGGAGTTGGCTCTCATCATGTAGAAAAAACAAACAAACAGACTAATTACTCTTTTTCTCCTGATCAAACATTCCCTCTGAAATCTGTACAAAACGTAATGTTCTCTTCTTCCTGCTCTTCACGAAGCCCAGTCGCCAAGTGATCTCAGTCGGTATTTGGGTGTACATAAAGTGAATGACTGGTCATGCCAGAAATGTAACTATGTGACTGTAACTCCTTTCTACATATATATGCATGCACAAAAAGATTTAGGAATACTTCCCTGCTATAGACAGGATGTGTCTCTAGTAGCTACTAATGTAAGAAGATGAACTGTGTTCCCCCTCCTCTGCATCCTTGTGAATGAGGAAGCTACAGTCCTGCCAGCTGGTTCGTCCTTGTGCCCCTGCTACACAAGGATGTGGTACCTTTGGCTCTGAGTTGCCACAACAGCAAGTCACAGTCTACTACAATAAAGTAAGTATTTAATGATCTGATGAATATTTAGCTTCATGGGAGAATACAGATCCATGCAGTCTTTTAAATTCACTAGACTCATCTCTTACATAGACTAGGATAAGGGGAAAATGTCAGAAGAAGAGCAAAATATAAAAACAAAGTTATTTCCCCAAACTAGGCAATGTTATAACCAGAAGTCATGATTTATGTTGTGACAGAATCTGTAATATGAAAGGGTACAATAAAGCAGGGTGGGTGGAGAAACAAAGCAACCTCTGTGTGAAAAGACAAGATCTTGAATACTAAAGCACTGGTTAGTTAGCTCCATCCTAGCAGGAGCTCTCTGGGGAATATATTCACATCTGATTCCCCTACTTTCTGCTGTCTTTGTATCATGCTGTGCAGCTATTAGCCTGCTGCTCAACAACTTAAAAAAAAGAGACACTATCAAACCTTGAAGTCATTGCAGCACCAGCCTTAGGGGTAAACAGAAAACTCGATGTCACAGTATCACACTGTGTGAGCTACTCTCTTGAATATAAAGTCAAGTTTTAATTTCCACATCCAACTTAATCAAACCTCAGTACACCCATCACACCAATGACACATTCAGACACTGTAAATCCTCTGTTTACAGAGGGTACAAAACCTACAGTTGGTGCATTTTGTCGGCTATATAATATGGGTTTGGGTTGTCTTCCCTTCTAAAAAAATCCTTTAATTTCAGCCTTTGTAATATGTTGTATAGAGTATAGACTACATTGAGAAAGAGTGGGTTACAACATTATGGTTACTTCATTAAGAATAAAGTATGAAGAGGTGGAGTTCTCATTGATAAAGATTCACAAAACCTGAATGACACTTACATAAATCCACTAGTGTCCTACTTATCAAATCAAATGTTTGTTACAGAATTCTATAAGTACCCAAATGACAATACAACATTAATCCATCAGGTGCATGATCCAAGCAAGTAACCCCTTTCATAATAACAATGCTAGCCCTGGATCCATGCAGGCAGAAACTGATGTCCATTGTCCTTAGCAGAACTACATGTGGGAACATATATCCGCCAACAGAGATCCAATCATTTAAATCTGTTCCATTATGCTGTATTTCTACACAGAGGGCACAATTCAACCTGTAGCTAATTGTTCTCAACTCCCACTGAAGCCAGAGTGGAGTCCTGCCTTAGCAGGAACTGCAGTAAAATGCCTATGAGTCACATAGATAATATGCTACTGGGCATTCCTCTGAAGTGTCAGAGAAAGCAAACAGACAAGAAACTCAGTATCACAATCCTAGCAACCCCGTACTGAATGTTCATCCCACACTTCAAAATGGTGGTGAGGGTACTTTAACTAAAGCTCATTCAACAAGCTTTAAATAAAGTGCTCCCACCACCATTTTGAAGTGCAGCAACGCTGATACATGAGGGCACCTTAATCAGACTGGCTCTTAGAACCATTCTAATTAAAAGAGTTTCCCCCCCCCCTTTCCCCATTTCCGGAGCACTTGTAAAAACATCCTTGTAGTCCAACTGGCCTAGACTTCCTAGACCACTGCTGACAACATCACTTCCAAGACAAGCCAATGGTTTAAGAACACCCTTTACCATAGCTTCAACCCTGGTGCCATTTGGCTATGCATTTTACCCCAACAGAAGCATGAGGGCCAAAGCATAAAATACAGTTTCTAATAACATTTCTCTTAAACAGCTTAAGACATACACATAGAGATGAAACAGTAAGACTTCCATGCCCACCCTTACTTTTTATAGTCTTCTCACTACTCCAAAGCATTCTTTAGTCCTCTAGTGCATCCTAGATAAACCTCATCCTCTTGTGCACAATACTGCCTTCTCCTCTTACCACCTCTCGCTGACTCCAGAATAGCTTGTGAAAAAGTCATCCTTTATTAAAGTTGAAGCCCCTTTTGTCAAGTGATTAAAGTTGCCCACCAACTGATCTGTTCTTTGGTTATTAAAGCCATCTAGCAGATTAGTTTTCTTGGTTTTGCCACTTTCTTTTAGCAAGTTGCTTCCATGCGAGCAGCAGCTCATCAAGACTTAACAATTCTCCATAGCAGCCATGCCTCATCACCCCTTGGAATTGAGTACACTGCTGAGGTAAAGCACAGGGAAAGCAGACAAGTTGAATATGTATAAATATCAACTTCAACTCCCATTTCAGAGGCCATAATATCAAGAACATTTCCTAAATAGTAACACTAGCTGCCAAGCTCTAAATCTGACAACTTTTTGTATCCATTTAGAATAGGTAGGCCTACTCTCTAGGTTGGGGTCAGCCATGATCAGTATAGGCCTTGAACTGTGGAGGACTGATGGTTGTAAGCCACCTCACTGTTCCCTTGTTCTTGGACTGCTCAGATTTATGGGCTAGGGACAGAAGTTATGCATAAACCGGTTTAAGTGATCAGAAGCTGGTTTAAACCTGTAACAGAACAGAAGCTCAGTGCACATAAGCCAGTTTCAAAATGTCTGAAACTGGTTTAAGATAAACCTGGTTGAATGTAGTATGAGACTTAACTGGTTCTGGTCAAACTGATTTATGAAACTTCTGTCCCAGACATCTTCCTGGTTCAAGTTAAATCAGAGTCCCCCAGCTTCCCAGAATGCTTTCCAGCCCTGGGCTGGGCTGTCTGCTCAGAGAGCAGGGCTGGCCCCGCCCCTCTTCTTCCTAGAGGGAGCAGTGAGGGCTGGCTGACAAGGAGGGTAGGGGGGAGGAAAGCCCGGCTGGGGATGCAGCCCAGTCTGCAGTGGGGGGAACTGCCCCCCCATGGAAACCCCGCCTGGGGCCGGGGAATGGGGTTAAACGCTCTTTCCCCCACTCAAACTTACTGCTGGCTGCAACTGTGGACTACAAATCCCAGAGGCACCTGGAAGGAGGAAGAGAAAGTGATAAGCAATTCTGCAGAGGGCTGCTATTGTAAGTCTAGACTGCAAATCCCAGAAACCTCAGGGGCAGCAGGAAGAGGAAGTGAACACACAACCAGAGAGCCATGCTCTAGCACTCCCTGGCGGTTGGCCTGAACCACTGCAGGCATGTGGCTGCATTTCCTGAATCAAAGGTAAATGTCTGTTCACTTCTGTTTCAGTTTAATCTGTGCATTTTAGACTAATCTGCAAAGACTGAATCGATTCAGCCGCGGGATTCTGACTGTCTGTACCCAGCCATGGTGACTAGGATCATCACTAAAGGCCTGCTAGAATGCAGTGCATTTCAGCTCTGCCTTGTCAAATCCTTAGCCTGCCCAGAAATGAACCCTGCATTGCTGCAATACAGGGCCAGGATCAGATACCTGCAAATTGATTGTTTTTTGCATTGACAGTATGAACTGTTGCTTTTGACTTTATTCAGGCCACAAGCTATCACAACTGTGTTCAGAACTGCAACTGACAATAACCTCTCAAAGTCTCTATAGATTAAATTGCTTTTGCTTCCCAAGTATGTTGGCCATTTTCAGTTACGAAAACCATTCACTGGACTGTTAGGGAAGCTAAAATTAGGTTTTTTTAGCAGCACCTCACCCCGGATAAGCTGGTTTCTGTTGGTTATCCTATAGTATGCTCCATTTCAATCTACTGTTGTTTAATACAGCTTTATAACATCCATTTTAAGCCACTGCATATTTTTTTTAAACATTACATATGGTACTAGTGGTCTGCAATAAAGATGTTGCAAATGTAGTCTGTTAAGAATATTTGTTATATATAGCATTTTGAACCCACCA